ATTTGTGCTAAGGGACGCTAGACTTTGAGTGACATCGAGGTGACTCCGCTGGAGGATACCACACCGTGTGGCGATGCCGGAGTCAGGGCTGCTGCCGCTTAAAAGGGTTAAGTCATGTTTTAAATTTTACACACCACTAAACACCACTTACATACACTACACCTACCGCCTGACCGAGCCTTGTGGCCAGTTTTCGCTTCGGAACCAGGTACGTACTGTTTATTTTCCTAGCCTTATATCTATTGTGTAGAATAATAAGTTTCCATAGGCCGTTGGGCCCCACCCTTAGTTGTTCGTCGAATCTACAGCTGTATGGGCCCCTGTATGGTCGACCTTTGTTGGGGCAACTAGGGGCGTGTACACATGCAATAATTATATCGTCAGTACGCTGTAGATATACCTACATTAATGTTAAATACTGGACCTATAGTGTTACTTAGGACTATAGAACTCAGTCGATATGATACTCGTATAAAATAAATAATGTTTACAATAAACTCTGGTCAAATACGATGTGTCGTGCTCCACCTTTTATACGTTAACGGTTAGACGGAAATGAAAAATTGAGTTTGTTGCATGTTAGGACACTCACTTTTTGTGCTGGAATAAGATCTGTATTAAATGACAGTTTTCGTAAGATAGACTTAGACTGCTAAAGCAAAATACTTTTTAGAATTTTGCTCATTTGCATCATTTTAAATTTATTAAGGAAAGACGAGAAGAGAGTGCATATTGCACGTTACTTTGAAGCACGAGTTTTCAAATCACATATTAGGCCCAGGACACTATACATTAACAGGTAGGTACATAATATGCAAGTATATTTGAAAATCAGCTTCAAACATCATAAGGTTTTATTGCTAGGGATTATTATGATTTAATATAAAAGAAACTGACAACAAGCCGGCAATTCGCAAGACTTCATTCTGCGATGCCTGTGCTCTACAACACAAACATTAAACCTGTACATACAACGCCATTCCTTTTCAACTCACAGCAAAGTATTACTGTATCCCCAATATTTTTTTTATGTGGCGGAGCCATGCTGTAGCTGTTTATGGTTGTAGCACGAATTTTATAATAAAATACCAGCGTTAAATAGCAGCTTAATGCTGCTGTGTTTCATATGGTGAGTACAGAGAGCCGGAGACCCTTTTTACTGGAAAGGAGACATTAAATCTTAGTCCTCAAAGTTGACAACGCATCTGCATTTTGAATTTGAATGTAATCACAACGTTGCATCACATGTATAGGTCGTACGACGCGAAAGCGCCATGAACATTTTCCTAAAACATTTGCGTTATGATAGTGGTCGAAAAACACGCGTTAACATAGTTCTGATAGGGATATATAATTTTGATCCCAACTATGATCGCGATTTTACGGATATTTTCGACATTGGAGCTGCATCATTCAAACAAGCTCAAGGCAAACATTAATACACTTGCACATACCAATTAATTTAGGTATTGAAGTGCGAGCACGATCAGCATTTAAGTTGCACAGCAATAACTATTATTGATTCTCGGGAATAATTGATGTTTGATCAATCTCTTGTATCTAACCTTCATTCAGGCATACAAACCTTACAAGGTGTTCATTTCACTGTCAATATTGATAAATCGGGATTGACTGGGAGAGAATATCGTATGGCATTTTGTAACCTTTTTATTTAAGGCGATAGCAATAAAGCATAAATAAACAGTAACAAGTGACAAAATTCGCAAGTTTAAATTATTTAGATTATGAATTTGTACACGAATGCATCGCAAGTAAAGAACCGCACATATTACACAAAATGTTTAAATTTTAAAGTACAAAGATAATCTGGGAGGGTCAATATACAATATATAAATCGCTTGGCAGCATTCAACGCTACTGCTACTGGCCTTCTGGCCCACTGGGATATCTTTTCAGATGTAGTTCTATGATTTATTTCAGAGAAACGGTACCTACACACAATAATTTGATGCATAAGGTATAACTTTTAGGTTTAGGATTATCGGTAGGATTAGCGGCGAAGAAATAGCATAATAAATAATTCTTAGCTTTTTACAATATTACTATGTACCTAGATGTCAATGAAATAATATTATGTTAATCTAATAATAATAATAATAATAATAGCACCTTATTAACAAATTGTGAAGTATAACCCAATAATAAATTTTCAATTATTATGAATAGTAATTATTACTATTCATATAAATATCACAAAAAAAAATTTTAATTAAAAAAACTGACATTTTTGATAATAAATAATAGGTATGTATCTCTATTGTACCTTGTTCAAAGTTATTCATTATTGCATAGATTTATAAATAAAAATAAATACTTGATTCAATATACATATAGCACAGAACAAATAATACTACTTTGTACAGAAGTTGCGCTGCTTTGATTTTCACTACTTTGCCGACGTTTTAATGGCCTACGTAGTTATTATTAATGAGATAAATCACGCGCGCAAGCTAAAGTAAACTTTATCGCTGCGCGCTAGTGTCCACATGGCTTTGCATATTTTCCCTTCTTACGTCACGGTCGACATTTCGTGGTTACCCAGGGCTTTCAACAAAGAGTAAAAAATACATTACGTATATAGTACCTTTTGATTATTTATTTAATTTACAGCTGTTTTACTTTAATATAATGTCTTATTTGTTTTACTGTCTCTAAATAAACTATCGGTTATATCATTCAAGAGTGGAAAAAACTGTAAGTAAATCTAACGTGTAATGTTAAAAAAATACTGGGAGGGACAATGTTGACACGAAGTGATAGATTTAATATTCGCTAATAATTTTAGTAATTACTTGCTGGTTTTTTCATTGTGTTCAAAATTAAAAACAAACGTATTTTCAATAATAAACATATAAATTGATTTAAACTTATACAATTATTTTATCCTGTAGCTAAATATACTACACCATAAACGAAAATATTTATACATTTACAAAAAATCTTTGAAATTCACTAGTAGGTAGGTACGTCACTTTCCTAAACCCCGCTGGCTGTTACTGCGTGTGCGTATTGCGTATGCAACCTGACCCCGGGTTTAAACTCTCGCCACGCAGCTCGCGTGTTATTGCGAGGTAACGAGTGCCTGTTTAGGTCGGCCACATACATACGGAATTCCGTTTCGAAATTCCGATTCGGAATTCCGATCGCAGCAAGTCCATATAAGGCCGGCCACATACATACGGAAGTCCGTTTCGGGATTCCGTTTCGATATTCCGATTCGAGATTCCGAACGCAGCAAGTTCATATAAAATATATGACCCGTCACACACGTACGGTAGTTTTCCGTTCGAAATTTTGCGGGCGAAACGGGATTCCGTATGTGTGTGGCCGACTCGTTTGAGATTCCGAAACGGAATTCCGTATGTATGCGGCCGGCATAAAATCTATGAGCGTACACACACATACGTTATTTTTCCGTACGGAATTTCTCCGATTCGAGATTCCGTATGACCGCCTGTGCGTTCGGGATCCCGAACGGAAAAAAGCCGCTCCGAACGGACGTCTTCCAAAGATTTCGTACGAGTCGCAACACACATACGTAAATTCCGTACGGAATGCGCTCAGTGTTCGTCGCACGACCGAAGCGAGTAGGTGTATTTATGTACGTTTTTACATTTAATCTTGTAGGTGTATAGCTTTTCGTAACCTTTCATCTTATTTAATAATTCGTCGAAAGAATTTACAGACACCCATATTTAAAAAATATCTCTGGATATATAGATCTTTTTACATAATATTGACTATATTGCAAGCTTAGGGTGATAAGGGGATGCACCCAGTAAGTATAATACAGCAACAATGGAATCGCAATTAGAAAATCGTCGTCATTTTCGCAGGCAGAACGTTTAGATTCAATGGATAACGTCTCTTGACTGACCCTTATTATTCCCAACGGAAAAAAACGTATGTGTGTGATGTATTCATGGAATCCCGATTCGGGATTCCGAAACGGAATCACGAAACGGAATTCCGTGAACATACATAAATACACCTACTCGCTTCGGTTGTGCGACGAACACTGAGCGCATTCCGTACGGAATTTACGTATGTGTGTTGCGACTCGTACAAAGTCTATGGAAGACGTGCGTTCGGAGCGGCTTTTTTCCGTTCGGGATCTCGAACGCACAGGCGGTCATACGGAATCTCGAATCGGAGAAATTCCGTACGGAAAAATAACGTACGTGTGTGGCGGGTCATAGATTTTATATGGACTTGCTGCGTTCGGAATCCCGAATCGGAATATCGAAACGGAATCTCGAAACGGAATTCCGTATGTATGTGGCCGGCCTTACACTCTCGCGATGTGTTCGGTGCATATTTATGCATGATATGTTTTGATTGATCCCAAATTATTCGCTCAGCTTGATAGAGTTCCAAGAACTGCAACATTTAGCTTCAGCTGGCGAGACGAGCCACAAGCTAGCGTTTACACTCGCACCTCGTGGCTTGCCTCGCGACTCGCCTCGCCGCTCGCGCGAGAGTGTAAACGGGCTTAAGGTTCCGAGCGATTGTTGGGTGATAGAAGCCTGCATATAATGTCACTGTTGGCAGGCGGTGCAGCAGCGTTATCCGCTATTTCTGATGACTGGAATAACTACAAAGATTCTTAAAAATTAGCATTTTAATACTTCATTTCTTATGTATTCTGGACTAGGAGAAATAATAGTAAATTTCTTAATTTCTACTATATATAGGGCTAGAATTTAACGATCACTTGGCCGTCGCCAATGCTTCGTTATTTAGAATACAGATGAGATTGGCGATCGTTGAAAGTTGATTTTATTTCCATACGGCTTAGGCGACATTCGCGATCAATTGCAAAGCTAACAAAAGTTTCATCTTAAAATAGATGACCGCACAGCCAAAGCGCAGGTGCAAACAGGTTGTGTAGTAACTTGCTACAGTAACCAACACCGCACCGCGTCATTTCGCAAAGCACTTCGCCGCAGTAGGGTTAGTTAGGTTAATAAAAAAACATAAAATATTAGACACATTTAATGTGATTCAACTCTGCACATTTTTAGTTCAGTATACATATTGAATCGGACGCCAAAAACTACACGCTTACATACATTACTTCCACGATAAATATACATCCAATAACGTTATAAGCTTGCTTATAAATGCCTACGTTCATTTATTTCAGTCTTTATGCTGAAATTTTCACATACAATAATTCGACAATATTCAATAATGGAAATTTCGCAATTCAATTGCGTTTTAAATATAATTTGATTCGATGACCAAGACCTTGGGGTTTCAAGGCCAAATTCCGCTTATACATATATATAAAGCTCTGAAAAGATGAACATGCCTTGCATACCGACTACGTCGGAAATTTTGCCTAGGCTGGCAAGGCCGATATTATAATATAATTAAAATTAATTAATAATGAAACATTACTTGACTAAGTTGACAGGTAGCTATAATAATATAATAAAAACAATATCACTGGGCATGAAATGTTAACGTGATAGGGCCTCGTTACATCAACCATTCGCGGGGCCCTGAGCTCGCGATATGTTCAAGCAAATACAACAATTATTCGAGCGTGTTATCAAATAAAAGACAAACACTCACGAAATACTTAAAATACCTTTCCTTCAGCTATCTTTAGATAATATCGACATATAAAGTCACATTTAATATTTATGTTATTACTTAGTATTTAAAATTGAAATAGACTTCGAGGAAACTATTTATTTGTAAAACACTTATATTATTAACTACCCATATTTTGTTTGTACTTAGAGTCCAATCCACGCGTGAGTTTAATAATAACCCAACACAGCCAACACAGTCGGAAACTAAATCTTTTGTTTACACTCCACTTTCCTAGCAATTTGTGAGAGCGCGGAGGTCATTAGGAGCGAACGGAAGTGCAGGGTTTTTGATCAAAAGCAACTTACATCTTACACCTACGTCTACTGTAACACATATCAGAAATATCACAGAGAGAGACAATAAAGGTACATTTATAATACAATAATCAGAACGTCCAACTGGCAAGCGACCGTCTCCTAAATATGTAGATATAAGTATTTCTTTACAAGTAATTATTAAAGACATTTATTTGAAAATAAAGATATGCCAAACGCCTGCAGTTGTTTAACGTATAATGTTTGGATCCCAAGCGTATTTTTGTTTCTTGCTTCCTAGAGCATTGAGGGCTTTGATCTCGTGTTCGGTGAGACGAAATTCAATAGTGATATTCTCACGTATGCGAGCTGGGTCCACGGACTTGGGGATGACTGCGACATCCTGCTGCAGCGCCCAGGCCAGCAGCACCTGCGCGCACGTAGCCTCGTGACGCTCAGCTATGCTTCTCACTACGGGGTCCTTTAAGAGTGACGTGTCTTCGTGCGAAGTACCCCCGAACGAACAGTACGCCTGCAGGCAAATCTCATTCTTCATGCAATAGGCGCGTAAGTCTTCCTGATAATAATATGGATGCCACTCGACCTAAGGGACATAGTAACACATTGTTAACCAACTTCAAAGGATTGTCAACTGCAAAGTATGTCATGCAATCAGGTACATTGATAATTTCAAGTCTTTTCATATGTGAAAGGTTTATAAATATCACTAATAACTAAATGTGCTGAGATATGTGCAGTGGGGAAAATCTGCGCCAATGCAAAATTTTCAATTTTCACATTTTTCATGGCAATGTCTTGTCGACTTTTTCTTTTTCAAATTCAAATATTCAACTTAAAATTTCGAACACCACACCAAAATAATGGTGAATGTGCCAGCTACAAAATTTTCTAACTTTTTCTTTGACTTAGCATTTCATTTTTATCATTCTTTTCATTTTTAACATAAACATTCAGGTGTCTTGTGAGTAGCATATTATTAAAAAAAACTCAATTTAACAACGGAAAAATAAAAAAAGCAGTTTGATGCTGCTTTATTTCAAATAGTGAGTGTAGAGAACAGGTCATCGTTTTTACTGGTAACAAGGCATTTTATATTGGTACTGGAGCGACAATGCATTTGCATTTTGATTCTTAATGGATGTAGGTACATATCTATAGCATACAGCTTCCACTTACCATCAAGATGTCAGTGTGCTCAATTGTTAGCAACAACTCCCGCTGATGAGCATAAGTCTCCTCTCATTTTTGCCCCAATGCGTGTTGGCGGGCTTCACATCTCTTCGAAGTATGTTTTTTTTATTTTTTACATGTGGTACACGTATACGTGATAGAGCCACGCTATACTCTTGCTTGTTACATTAGTATTTATTATTATTTTATGATTTTCGAGGGATCGAAGGAATCAATTGTTATGCCAGGTATTTTACATACCCACACCAGGGCCAATTCGTCAATTCGTGTAGTACAAGAATATGTGGTGGCAGAACCTGCTATACTATGCTATGGTTGTAGCATGAATGGGTCGGCTCGACCAGGGTAGCACCACAATCTCACACAATGACGGCTCCGTGGCGCAGTGGCTTAGCAATCAGTTGTTGCGCTGGGGGCCGCGGGTTCGAATCCCGCACGGAACAAGTATTTGTATGGCCTACAAATAATTGTTCCGGGTCTGGATGTTTGTCCTTGTGCAATTTATGTTTGTAAACTGCCTCCACGACACAGGAGAAAATCCTAGTGTGGGGGTAACGTTTTAAAAAAAATGCCAACATAGAGGGTCGGGGAAAAGTTTATTCGCATTTTGTTTGTATAAAATTGAAGAAAAATCTCTATGGTTGTACTATTTGTATATGGCTGGTTTTATCAATCAATATATATAGGACATTATGAAAAGAAAAATAAAAAGTAAAAAACACTTCCCCGCCATTATTTCAATATTGTCAATTTTTTCTACCCGCCAAAATATGAGAATTTAACAAAGAAATTCGATAATTTTGAAATTTTATTATAAGTGGTAAAAATAAAATTTTGTACAACCGACTTCGATATAAATTATTAAGGATAACTCAAAAACTACTAGTCAGACCTTAATCAAATTTATATGAGACCACATGAAGAGCACTGGCTATCAAATAAAAAAGAATCATTAAAATCGGTTCACTTAGAAAAAAAGTTGAGGTAATTAATACACATTAAAAAAACATAAAGTCGACTTGAGTTCCTCCTCGTTTTTGAAGTCGGTTAAAAAAGGGAATAGTGCGAATGGGCATCGTTTATTATGAACATAATAAACGATTACATAAGAAACGGCAAAGCCATCGGTTCGGAACTCATTCATCATGATAACACCAGACCACATACATCTTTGGGCACTCAGCTAAAATTGAGAGCTTGTTTGGGAAGTGTTAATGCTTCCACCATATATTCTTGACCTTCCTCCCTTGCATCGGTACCCTCAGATTTTCATCTGTTCTGTTCTCTTCAGAATTGTTTGGGTAGTGTTAGATTAACATCAAGAGACAACTGTCAAAACTAGTTGTCGCATTTTTTTTATCAAAAATCCAAATAGCAACAAGTTGCCAAACAAAATGGCATATAAATATTATAATTATATGTGATTAAACTTTGACAAAATGTCTTGAATTTGTATATAAAATACGAAAAAACTTATCCCCAACCTTCTAAATTAGCAGCTTAATGCTGCTGTGTTTCATATGGTGAGTGTAAAGAACAGGAGACCCTTTTTACTGGAAACAAGGTGTTCCATCTCAGTCCTCAGGGATAACAACACATTTGCATTTTGATTCTTAACTGAGGATAAATGTAGATGTCTATGGGCCACAACAGCAACCTTGATCTATAAAAAAAACATGCATGTTGCCTCAGGATGTCCTCCTTCACCACCGAGCATGTGATAAATCAGTGTGATGCAATATGCATTGGTATTGATATAATTATAATTAATAAACCACATTTATCATTTAATAACTCTATGAAAAATACTGATAATAAATAATAGCTTATACCTGATTAACCACTGGGCATACGCCTGTGGCCTTCACATTCAAGTCCTTGAGATGCCTGAGAGTAAAATTGGAAACACCAATGGAATTGACGCAGCCTTCGTCATATAGATCCACCAGCCCTTGCCAAGTACTTGCGCGCAATTTAGCGTTTCTCGGGTCGCCAGAAGGAAGCTTGGCAGCACCGGGGAAGTGGATCAAAAACAGGTCTATATAATCCACGCCAAAATTGTCTAAAGACCTCTGATAAGCCTGCTTTACCACATTTGAGTTGCCATGTTCCGCCGACGCTGCATAAAAGAAATATTTCCACTATTCATTTAAAATCTTGATTATTATAGATTATTGGTAGTTTTGTCGGTTATCTTCAGTTATTCCTATGTGTTCCAAGTTGTAAAACTAGCCATATATTATTATTTAAATCAATGAGTCACTTTTCCGAAATGGCAGACTCAAGATATTTATTTTGATTTGTTAATACTAAAAAAAATATTAACATTTCCCTGTATTTTCCTACTTGCGCCTGAGTAATATGGTTTTCCCTATATCAGCGATCTTTATATAATGTATATTTGCATGATTCTCTATGCGTAAAAGAATGTACTAAAATATAATTTACATAAATACAAGTTACAAAGAGACACAAGACACAATAGTTATTATAGAAATAGTATACTCACATAATTTGGTTGTAATGAAAATATCTTCCCTTTCCAGATTATACTTAGGAAGTAACATTCTAAAAGCATCACCCAGAGCCCCCTCGTTGCCATATACTGCTGCAGTATCTGTATCAAACATGAAAAACATTATTTTGTTTGATATGTAAGGTCTTTGCTGTGTTATATGAGAAAATTGAAATAAGAAATGTTGACAAAAATTCAAAATATTTGTTAAAGAAACTTTATTTTCTCAAAAGATATAAATTATTTCACATAGCAAAAACTCAAATTTAAATTAGAGTATGCACTTACCAAATAAACGGTAACCAGCTGCCAGGGCTTCATCCACAGCCTGCATTATTACATCAGGTTGGCGCACACGGTAAGTGCCTACTGCATAAAACATTTCATTTCATTATCAATCATTTGCTGTATTCATTATGAGTTATTCCGTTATTTACATTATCATACTTATATATTACATTAGCATACCTATAAAAATATATATATAACTTCTTGTTTAAGGTCAATGCTGAAATAAAAGGCGTGCCTCACAGGATTGCATATTCATTGGAATCTTGGCATAAAACAATTTAAAATAAAGTTAAAGACAAACATCTAACAGTAGCATTTTTGAAATACTTCCTTGCAAAAAGCTACCAATTTTTTACTAACACATACATTGTAGCAAAGAAATTCAGGAAACAATTGCAAATGTGCAAAATAGGTCAATAATGAAATTAGTGTTGTTGATTTCCTGAACATATTGCAGAATATATAAATTAGACATGCAAGTTTAATTTAATTTAAATGCAATACATAATCCACCGACTTTAATAGCTGTCACAGTAACATTAATGGCAATATGAAATATGATTTTTGTTTAAGTTTGTGGTGATTGTATATGGGGTAAGAGGTCGGAAGAACAAATAAATGTGAATTCTGGATAAACATGCGTTTTCCAGTATCCACCCTAGAGTGGATTTTTAGGGTGGATAAACAGAATAACCTTTATTGTTTGTTGTAGGTACCGATTGTTTTACTAAATCTAAACCTTTGCAGTCACTTAATTTCTTTGTTTTTATAACCCTTACTATGAGTGTAACTAAAAGCTAGCTATTTAAAATACTATAAAACCTAAAAGGGATTTCTATCATAAGAAAAACCTTTTTAGTCCTAAGACTATCAATGTTTTGTAATGAGTCCAATGTTGCACGGATATAGATTTAAATCTTGTTCGCTACGCTAGTGGTTGTAAGGTTGCAAGGTACACAAATTGCTGTTAAACATATAAAAATATAATGTTGAATATATAAAATTTATTTGACTAATAATACTAACATCCAACTGCAGGCAACTTAATGCCGTTGTTGAGAGTGAAAGTCATTGATGAAACCGGAGGCATATCGGCATCCATGGCTTTTTTTCGTTCCCTCCGTCTTGATCCACATGCACCTAAATTAATAATATTTAATATGATAAATGAAAAATTTTAAACATGTTAACAAAAACATATTATGCCAGCAACAACACACATTAATCTGTTACATTAATATGTATCACAATAAACAAAACAATGGTTAAAAACATGATGCATAGTGAAGGTTCAAATAAATACACTGTCTAATCTATAAGGAAAGACATAAGGCACTGAACAAATTTGAAATAAAAAAACAAGGTCATTTCACAACAATCACAAAGCCAATTCCTTACATTGCATTCACTTTTATAAATAAATTTGATACCTCGCTTCATTTTTACTAGATATTTTTAAGTGGAAAAAATTTGTATGTCGCAGCGCGCACAAGTTACCTGTACTTTATTTATAGTTCTCGTCGTTGCACTATCGATTGCCCGGGGTTAACTTTATAAAGGACAATCACGTCCAACCGAACAACTTTGCCTAGTTATTGATTAGTTCACAAGTTTCCACAAATTAAACAAATAAACATTCAACTTTGGTATTTATAATTTTTCTTCGAATTTTTATTGCTAAAGAAATTTAACAGTACATTAAAACTTATACCAAAGTTAAATAAGTTGCTATAATCCCATCATTCGCGGCATACATTCACAATTTCCACAGATTAACTAGTGAATTCTATTCTACCTTTTTAACTTTTTATATAAAACTAGCTGTTCCCCGCGACTTCGCCCGCGTGTAATTTAGGGTTTTAATTTTTTTGCCCGAAACCCTAATTCTTATTCTAATATAAAAGTAGCCTAAGTTACTCCTTATAGCATCAACTATCTGTCAGTGAAAGTCCCGTCAAAATCGGTCCAGCCATTTCGAAGTTTAGCCGGAACAAACAGACAGACAGACACAAAAATTCTAAAAATTGTGTTTATGTTATAAGTACGTTATTTGCTTTCATCTGAACTTAGTAAAAAAAAGCTGTTATTTTGGCAATACAAACAGACACTCCAATTTTATTTATTTGTACAGATACAATGTACTCTGTGTCTTTATGATCTATGTAGTATGTACCAAATTATAAAATAAATCTGAATCTGATGCAAATTTTGTGACAGGAATTTAAACAGTGTTGCCAATTCCAACCATACTCTTTGTGCAGTAAATGCTTACATACGTGAGTTGAATTAATTTGTTTATTCATTTTTGTAGATCAAAGATTAATATTGACATAACTTCGTTTTATAAAATTCTTTGTGGAGTGACCGCAGAACTAATTATGATATATATGGTTACAAAACAGATTAAAATAAATATTAGTCTCATTATTATTTTATAACTGACTTTACGGCTCTAGGTTCTAGCCCTTCTGAGCCCGAAGTACAACATATAATTATTATCCTTCATAGTATACTGTTTCACAATATGTTGATGCGTCACATTGTGCAGCCCTTAGGAGATTTTGACGGCAACTTGAGCCAGCAGACAGCTGATAGTTGGCGATGGTATCTCAAAGCGCCTAAGCAAACAGACACCTTATCTTGAGAATCACATCACCATCAGAGCACTTCTTTCACCGTTTCCACTAATAGTTCACATGCGCAGACACTTAATACACAAAATCGCACCACTTTTACATATCAAAATCCAGTTCAAAAAATATTATTTAAACGATAATACGGGAGCAGCAAACCGCCGCCAGACAAGTTCCCGCCAAAACTCCTATTAGTCTCAGAAAGTTCTCAGTTCTCGGATCAAAAGAATTTATATACTTCCGGTCTCAAAATATCTGTGTACCTATCTTTTAACCATATAACAAAGGACAGTACTAAATCAACGTACCCTACGTGGTTCTATTGTTTTTTACTTAATTATTTTTTTATTTATTTATGTAAATGATTGTTATTGCTATGACCACAAACTAATAAGAAGTGCTAGCGCATAGATGAACTTCTTCTGTAAAGTCCTTTTCATGAAAGAAGTCCCCCAGACGCAGCGCTGTACTCGCGTGACATAGTGTTGCCATTTACGAGTAAAAATTTACCTATTTTAAATTTATAAGTAATTTATCAAATAATATTATTTCCTGCAGACTTCGATGAAACTATTAAATTGTATTAAGAAATAAATACATTTTAGATAGGCTGTAATTTCATTACTCAAGCCAATACTATAACAATAGTTCAGATTAGTGAAATATGTATATTTCTGATAAGTGAAATGTATATTTGGGCATTTTTATCAAAATGTCTACCAACCCACTCATGGGATGACTCATGCAATAAGTCCAATTAACTAATGTTATTTTGACTATGTAAGTGTCGTGTTATTATTAAATAGTTTCAGTGTTTAGGTGAGAAACTAAAAACAAAGCAATAAAAGCCGACGATTTTTGGTCATGATCAGTACTGGGAAACGTGGGATGTCACATTTCCTAGTTTAAGTTTATTTAAACATAAATTTTGATAAAAATGTTCATTTACATAATTTACTATATTTCTGTTATGTAAAAAGTATATTTTTATTTACTTTTATAAGCGGTGTTCTACCTACTTACAGGGAAAAGATGAGAAAATAGGGTAAAGAAAAGCATTACAATTTTTTATTCAGAGTTTTATTGAATAATTGTGATCAGCGGCCATAGGAACATCACTGTCTGAAGAGTCGATGGAAACTGAATCAGATTCTGTTTCAGTATCATTAGCCGTAGATATAATTATTCGGTCCATCTCTTCATCCATAAGGCCGTCATTTTTTAAATATTCCTCCTCTAAATGTTCGACATGCGTGCACTGAGCTGTCCAATCTTCCGCCGTAATAGACTCAAATGCCTCTACAGTTAATTTTACAATTTCTTTTGGATCTTGTGCCACATTCTTATCCGCCACCTTTCTTTTTACAAGGCTCCAGATTTTCTCCACCGGGTTGAAGTCGCAATGGTAAGGCAGCAACCTTAATACTTCGTGTCCGTGAGCTGTTAATAATTCATCCACTGCAAATGTCGGTGGACCTTTATTTTGTTTGATTAGCTCAAACAGCACAGCTTTTCTCCAGGTGTCTTCAAAATATATACCCTTTTGCCGGAGCCATTCCTGCATACTACTTTTTATATTTGACATAGAAGGGGCTTTGTTTAATTGAGTACAATGGTAAGGAGCGTTGTCCATTACCACAAGCGACCTTTCAGGTAGATTAGGTATTAATTTTTCCGTCACCCATTTTAAGAAATTTGCAGAGTTCATGTCATCGTGGTAATCTGAGGACTTTGATTGGGATTTAAACATTAATAATGCACCATTTATGAATCCATCTTTTGTTCCCGCATGAGCGATTATCCAGCGACTCCCTGATGACTCTGAGACGAACATTCCTGGCTCCTCCTCACTCTGCCAACAACTTTTTGTATAATAAGTATTGAGTATATAGGTCTCATCTAAGTATACAATGGGTCGTTTTTCCACAGTGCGATTTATTCGTATTTTATCCAAATATCTTGCACGCCATGCGGTAATGTCGTGACGTTCCATAAGTAGTTTGCGTCTGGATTGACATCGCTTATACTTGAAACCAATCCTATTTAATATCCTGTGCAATGTTGTGATGCTTCCCTAAAAATTGATGTCTTCTCTAAGAGCTGCTCGTAATTTAGCCAAAGTTGGTAATTCTTTATGCACAATGTAAAAACTGTGAATTTTTTGCCGGATAGCGCACAAATCGAACCCGTCTAAGTCGAACTTTTTCGGATGCGGGCGACTCTTCCCCGGGGTGACAATTTTTTTCGAAGTACTCGCCGCTGTTATACCTTCTTTTGTAATTCTTGTTATAGTTTTCTCTGACACACCTGCAATTAAAGAATGAACGATTAAAAATAATAGTCACTTTAAGTTTATAATGCTTATGTACTATATAATATACGTTTTAATTTCGGTTACCTAATTTTATCACGTTATGTATTTGTTCAATTTTGTCGCAAAACGAATTTATATCCTAAAAGTCCCATCAATACAGCTTAAAATTATTATATGGCAAGTACCTGTCATGGCGGCGACTCTCTTCCGAACATTGTTCAGTAGCATTAAAACACCTTGATTCTTTTGTTCAGCTTCACAGAATTCTTTCACCTTCAATATCATTTCTCGAGCCGAACTTTTTACAACTTTTGGCATTGTAAATAATCTTTAAAATGCACTAAGCTAGTTTAAAACTCACAAAAATCTACCACAACAAACGAACTTGATAACATCGACTTCCCTATATAACATCACAGAACACTATTACTCCTACGGAGATATAACATTGTAGTCTTTGACATCGACGAACGACAACATGGCCGACCTGTCAAATTTAGTTCCAAAAATCACCGCGGGACTTCTTTCATGAAAAGGACTTTACTAACAAAGTTACCAATAGCGAGCCTCAAGAATTGAAAGTGACATTAGTTTTTTTAATTAATCTTAGACAAAGGCATGTATATGCTTCAGCCTAAAAACTAGTAGAAATAGAATCTTCTCAGAACTTTGAAAATTTATCTTTTTTGATTTGATTTATCATTAATAATTTTCTTTTAGGTATAAAGGAGTAAAGTACAGTAATATTTATTAAGTCTTTTATTTTTATATTTCAGTGTAAATTTACAAGTGCAAAGTGCTTTTATGTCATTGGAGGCAATACTTTTCTTTTTGTATTGCCACAGCTTTTGAAAACTCTTAGAGTTACAATTTTTTATCAAAGAGCCTGATGATTCTTTGCCACAAAGGTATAAATATTCAATTCAATGCAAGTGATGTTGTTGTAACGACTTTTATTAAAATTTTCCCCGTGTGGCTTTGTGCTTCTTGTCCCATTTACCAAATCAAATAATTTATCTATAAGGGGAACATTTGATTCAGTGTTCCTCAACGTTTGGCTCACCTCATTACCATGAATACTACAAGCTAAAAACTATAATTTAAAGTCATTAATAATTACAATATACTGAATTTCTAACTAAAATAATTTATATTACAAACTTGCAAAATTTGCAGCAAAATTCAAAGCTTGTTCGACTTAATAGCTGAGAACACTTAGGCAGTTTTTAATCAGAAACAAACATAAAATTGATTTAAAAAAAGTAATAATAAATTAACAATCTTTGTAAAGTTCTATATTATTTCTATAGAAATTTGAGGTTTGAAAATCATGTGATTAATTTGGTACAAAACTGCTTTTACAGGTTAAAAGTTCTATATAGATTTAGACCATTTATCACAGTTAATTTACGTGTAAAGCTTTGTGAAACCCTAGGTTTAGCTAAATTAAATTATTGTATAACTGTTTTTGGACCTTGTTTGCTTAAAAAATCACAAAAATTAATCCAGAGGGTACAGAATGCTTGTGCTCGCTATTGTTTTTACATACCGAGACGAACTCATGTTACATCATATCTTAATGCCTCGAATATATTAAAAATGCAGGGGCGTCTCAAACTTTTTTATGCTTCTTTGCTATTCGGCATAATAAATACAAAGAATCCAGAATATTTATACAAAAAACTTAATTGGAGAAATGACCAACATGTATATAAAACCCGAATATGCTCAAAGGTTTTTTGCGTCCCTAAACACAAAACATCGGCTTTCCGAGGCAGTTTTAAGTTTATGGCAACTAAGTGTTGGAATGATCTCCCACCACCACTACGCACTACGAAAAGTAAATCGAGTTTTAAAAAGAAATATAGACGTCACTTACTAAGAGAACAAATACTGTCATAAGCGGTTTATTTTTACCTAATTGCAGGACCGCCCTGTAAATACTTAAAACAAATAATAAACATTGCTATGTAGTAGGTGGGGAAACAACTTATATGAGATTAAAGAAGTTAGGCTTGTTAATATCAATATTATTTTATAATTTATATTACTTATTATTAGTTATATTGTTGTAATAATTATTTATTTATTTAAAAAAAATGGTAATAAAAATATATATATTTGATTATTAATTTGAACTGGCTAATAGTCGGGGATCCACGGTATGTACCCTAATGTGAATAGTTGTGATTAAAGGGATGCGCGCGTACTGTACTGTTCATAATATGTTGGGCGCTGGCAGAATAACAGCGTTGTAGGCAACTGCAACATTTATGCTGAGCTAGAGCCCATTCATTACTACATTATGTAATTCTTGTCATTTCTGTATGTACTCATTTTAACTTTATTGGTGGTAATGAATAGATGCTTATTATTATTATATTATTATTATTTAACATTTTGCAAGTATTGCAAAAGTCCTTTTTAGATACAAGCAAAAATTACTATAAACAAATGAAAATTATATATAATAAAATACAACATAAACAAATGAGAATGACAGTTTAATGAATAAATAAGTACAATTGTTTGACTTCACATCAGTTTGTAAACAATCTACTGATAAACTTAGCAAATTGGCATTCACATTCTATTTTTCGTCGCTTGTTTAGAAATTAAATATGGCTATATTTACAGATATTCTGCAGATATTTACAGATATTCTCCAATCTGCCGAACATCCATAAGACTTCCTTGGTAATTAATATCTTTAATATACTATTACACCACAGGAAAATATAGATAGGGTAACATAACTGTAATGATCATCATGATGATGATGAACTACACGTTTTATTAACAGTAGAGTAAAAGGAAACAAAACCAATAAAAACTAATATCTATATAATAAGTTTCATTAAGGTTTAACAAACCTTATTATATAAATATTATCCCATTTAATTTTCTTACTCTTAACACAATAAAGTTAGGTTGATATGCTCGACAGCAAAATAGGCATAAAATTATAATGTACATAACTGAGTACTGTAAAATACATGCCGGGGGATTACATGCATAACCCTATGTATTTTTTTGTTTAGTCATAATTAATTGGCAAAAATATTTAAGTAAAAATATAAGTTATAGTCTATACTTATAGTGACAGTAAGCGCAAAGCGCGTAGGTATGTTCTACTAGTGCCTAAAAATCAAGATTCCAACGTTTTGTCGCGTAAAATCGTATCTAACAAACATAATGAACATATAAATGATATAAAAGCACATTGTCAGAAAGATAAATGATTGTTGAACTTATCAATTTTTTTTAAATCGATTAATTGTTATTTTTACATAAAAAAGTGGTTTTAGTGGCATAAGGTGTAGATTTATCAAGTCGGCATGGAGTGGTAAACACGATAACTTTTGAAAATATCAATTGTTTAACTCAATCTATTTTTTAATATCTTCATCTATCATGTGGGAAGCCATTGAATGTAGATGTCAGTTTAATTTTCTTTTGTTTAGTTATAATTAATTTTTCCGGTGTAGAAATCCGGAAATTTTCGTTGTTTTAGCAGCCTTGTAATAATTAATTTTACTAACTAGACTGCCTCACTCACTCATTTCGGCGTCAACCGCCGTCGTGAGTGAATACTGTATCGGTTGTTTGCAGCGGCTCAAAACTAAAGCGGCTATAATAATAATGTGCAGCTATATCAGTAGTATAGTTGTAGCACGAATGGGTCGTCTCGACCGGGGAAGGACCACGCTCTCACAGAATACCAGCGCAAAATGGCAACTTGACAATGCTGTGTTTCGTATGGTGTGTGTAAAGAACGGAGACCCATTTTACTGGAAAAGAGGCATTCCATCTTAGTTCTCACGGATGACGACGCATTTACGAGTATATTTTGATTCTCTATTGAGGATAAATGTAGATGTCTATGGGTCACAGCAACCACTTACCATCAGGTGGACTGTGTGCTCGTTTGTCACCCTATACCATAAAAAAAGGTTATTAGTGAAAACTTATGTTTATTTAAAGTACTTTAAAAATTTATGTATAATCATGATATACGTAATTTTTTTTAGTGCGCTTAGGGTGTGCACAATTGGATTTACCAATAGTTTATATTGTAAAGGTATTTAGATTAAATTGTGTATATGACATATTGGTGTTCATTTTCATGAAGTTAATGGAAAATTTTTGTCAACGTGCCTGCCAAGACTGACAACCAAGGCATTATACTACTCTGTAAGTGTCAACTATGACAAAATTCCGCTAAATGAAAATCTATGGGGAGGTCTATGTTCAGCAGAGGACTTTTATACGATTTTTATACAAAGGATCATTTAATTAATGAAAAATTAATAGAAAAATTACTGACGGCTGTCATCGTATACTTACTTTTAATAGAACCTTAGTCGTGATCTCATCTTCCGTAAACAACGTGGGATATGCATCCTGGTAAATACAAGATAACGAATCGCAGCTCAATGTTTGTGGCACAATGCAACTTATTATATAAGTTCTTGAACACATATTCTATTTAAATTTTAAATAATACACAAATATGGCGTCGCACATGTGTGCTACACATTTTATACGTGGTAGAGCCATGCTGCAGCTATATTAGTAGTATAGTTGTAGCACGAATGGGTCGGCTCGACCGGGGTAGGACCACGCTCTCACAGAATACCAGCGTAAAATAGCAGCTTAAAGCTGCTGTGTTTCGTATGGTGAGTGTAGAGAACCGGAGACCCTTATTACTGGACAAGAGGCATTCCATCTTAGTCCTCACGGGTGACAACGCATCTGCATTTTGAGTCTATTGAGGATAGATGTAGATGTCTATGGGTCACAGTAACCACTTACCATCAGGTGGAATGTGTGCTCGTTTCTCACCCTATCCTATAAAAAAAACATGTTAGACAAACATTAATTAATTAATGGAAATTATAAAGTTGTGTGAATTAATGACGTCGGCGCTTGCCGTGTCACCTCACGTAAGTAGGCAGAATCGTCAAACAAAATCAGTAATTTATTCAATAGCTGTCAAAATCAATTCTTGAGGGCCATAGACATAAGGCTATGAATATTTGTAGAGATTACTACACGTGGCTAGACCCCAACATCTATTCAAAATTTAGGTGCGCTGTTATTTCATAGGGCTAAATTCCGCTTTATACAAAGGTTCTCTGTGTCTGTTGGGCTAATATAGAACGCCTCCTTACCAGTAAAAAGGGTATCCGGTTCTCTCATGGAAATCCGCATTATCTGCTATTTTACGTTTGAAGAAAATAGTGTTAGTGTATAGCTAAAAAAGAGTTTGGAGAAATATCTCAAATATAACTTAAAGAATAATAATATCTTTTATAACATTTAGCAATATATTATTATACTAGGTTTCTGCACGTAACTTCGTCCACGTAGATTTTAAAATAAATAAAACTACCCTATACTACGCTATGGTTTTAATAAGTATAAAAAAAACATATGTGCAGTTCATACGCAATATAACAATAGAATAAAATTATTTTTTATTCAATATTGATTACAAGTAATTCTTTTTGAAAGTATTTTTTATTTTTATTTTACGAATGGTTCGAAAAAAATCCTCAGTCCTGAGAAGAATCATCAAGAAACCCAGCAGGACCTTTTTTTTAAATAAATCTTAAAATACAAATGATTACAAACTATTTACAAAATTTATTTTAGAAACAGCTTGGAAGTGATCACCTCCTTCCCAGGGGTTATTATCAACCATGTATTTATATTATAATAACTCTTTTTATACAGCTTTTGTTTAATTAAATATTTAAACTTGGTAATAGAGATATCTTGTATATTTTCTGGTACTTTGTTATACATTGCCCCAAGAATGAATGAACTCTGTGGAGTCGAGAGACCGGTAACACTGGTTTGTGTGCGTTCCTAGTGTTTACAGAGTGTAAATCACTTTTTTTACTAAAACTATCTTTGTTTTTGTGAACATACATTAAGTTTTCGTAAATATACTGAGAGGCCAAAGTTAATATATTTATTTCTTTACATTTTTTTCTAAGAGACTCTCTCGGCTTAAGCTTGTAAATAGCTCTTATGACACTCTTCTGCAAAACAAAAATAGTTTCTAAATGAGCCGCATTTCCCCATTTTAGTATTTTAACAGATTAGGGAAGGGCCATAAACGTTTAAAGTTTATATCATATTGAAATACAATTCCAGAAAATCAGTAAGTATCTAGATTTTATAGGTGCTTCGGATGTCTTAACTACCTTTTTATATTCATTAGATATGCAGACACAACATCCACAACACCGCTAGTATTCGTTTTAAGCACCGGTTCCGACCCATTTGGAGCATTTCAGAAGTTCTCTACCGACATGGGCATGCGAGACCGTGTTCATTCCATTTCCCTAGGACAAGGTCAGGGCCCTGTTGCTGAGCGAATGATTAGCAACGCTAAGCCCAAAGGAGATTGGGTGTTCTTGCAAGTAAGAATTACCTACTTAATTATTTACGATTATTACAATTTTCTGTTCATTCACAAGTATCACCGACTTTGGTTTGTATAAATATATTCCATATGGTCATTATGGCAGAATTGCTTGAGGACTCGAAACTCTCTCCCAACGGATCTGATCTTAAGATGAACATGAATGGGAAACATCTGAAATCAGTGAAGAAAAGGATATCTATAACGAAGTCTGAAAGCGTGTTGTAACGTTGTAAGAATGTCCACTACCCAATATCATCCCGTGGGGTGTCGTAAGAGGCGACAGATGGAAACAAATCAGGAGATGAGAAGCAGTATCTTCCTAATAACGACCAAAATAAAAAACTGCGCTTGCCAACCAGCTTACCAAGCGTGACAACTGGCAACTATGGGAAATATCCCCGCTATAACGTAATCTACGGGGGGGGGGGGGGATATGTTCAGCAATGGACTTTAATAGTGTAACGGTATGTAGTTTCATGATACTCGTAATCGGCCATAGTTTGATAATTTTAAAACAAAAGGGAAATCTTATTTACATTTTTCTAGCTAGAACGACTAAGCAAGCTGCAAATGTTGACTAAACCATTGAGCTATTATGTATAAGTACATATTATTTTAATGAACTGAACGTCTTCTTTCCACAGAACTGCCACCTAGCAGCATCTTGGATGACGAACCTGGAGATTATTGTAGCCAATCTCAGCAACGAACACGGTGACCCACATCAAGATTTTCGGCTTTTTTTGAGCTCTATGCCGACGCCGAAATTCCCTGTCTCCGTGCTACAGAATTCAGTTAAAGTTACCAACGAGCCGCCAAAAGGCTTGAAAGCCAACGTTAAGAAAGCACTAATCGATATGGATGAGGACTTTTACGAAAATCATGGTATATTCGATCGTCCACTTTTAATAAAGTTATAGCCACATATAAGATATCCATTTTAATTATTTTTACATGAATGGAAACATTTCTATAATAAATACTACAAATGTTTCTGCTAAGTGCTATGCACGCCAACTAAGCCGTTCTAGCTCAGGAGCTGAGTGCTCGCGGTAGACTTCACAGTACGCGTACGCGGACAGCTCGGGTTAGATCTTGCCGGCACCAATGAAATTTTTTATTTTTAGTATTGATTTACCATGTGCTCGGCAATGAAGAAAGACATCTTGAAGAAACTCAGTGTCAGTGTCAGGAACTTCAATGTCATGTGAAGTTCGCCAACACGCATTGGGGCAGCGCGGCGGACGTTTTCTTGCCCTGAAAATTCAACTAACTATAACTCTAACTAAGCTTAACTTGCTTCTGATTACCTCTTTGGTCTATTTGTCGTAAACGCAATCGCCAATCATGAGGTCCCGGGCTCGAATCCCGCGCCGGGTCAACATCTGTTATTAGGTTTTTCTGATAAGAAATACTCAGTAACAGCCTGGAGTCAGCCCGTGCCTCGGAAAGCACATAAAGGCGTGAATCCTGCGCAGATCTCTCTCCGGTCGTACCGGATTTCCTAATTGAGAGGTCACCTGTGCTTGCGCATACACTTGGATACTATGATCCTGTCGTGCGCTAATCTCCGCCGCTGTGACTGACAGTCGGTCAGGAGGATATTATAATATTAGGCTTATACCTGACTAAGAGTGCTTACGACACAACTCGAAATGGCAAATTCAGATCCAAGTCCTTTTTACCTGACTGCATCAGAAGGAGGTTAATGTTTTTCGAACGTATGGAGTTAGGTATATATGTCCATTTCTTGGTGCGCTCTGTAACCTAACCGGCTTGATAGATTTTAACATAATATGTAGTGTCGTTGAATTAGTCTTAGCTGTGGAAGTGACATAGAGTATACATTTTTTTCAGTTAACTCGCAGTCAGATTTTAAAATACTGTTTTCAGCATTGGGCTTGTTGTTTAATAGTCCGTTATCTTAACCATAAGCTTAAAATAAACACTTAGAAGTGAGTAAAACTTCTCTCGTGCACGATGGCGTCGACGGCATTATATAATAAAATTTTAGTTTTATCAAGCAATGCCATCATCAGTTATAACTTTGTTTTATTTTATAGTACTAGAGCAAGACTGGCGTACTTTACTCTTCGGCATCTGTATGTTTCACGCTATCGTTCAAGAGCGCAAGAAATTTGGACCACTTGGCTGGAATATCTCGTACGAGTTTAACGATAGCGATCGCGAATGTGCAATGCTTACGCTACAGATGTTTTGCGAGAAAGGAGATATTCCGTGGGACGCACTAGAATACATCACTAGTGAGTGATCTATTTATAACCCAAACAATTTAATTAGGTAGTGTGGGTAAAGCGTATGCCCGCGATCACGGGTTTATTAAAGCCTCGTCAGTCTTCACCCACCTGCCTCTCACCTAGTTAGTTAAATAGCTCATTTCTTTGAAAGACTGACTCGTTCGCTGTGCTTAACGAGTAGGGCGGTCGGGACGATATTTTTGTGCATTAATTGTGAATACCATTTTTAAACTTATTAAAACCCATTTGAAATCATTTAATTTAAAAAATATCACGTATCTATTTCATGCATATTGGATTTGAATGTCTGATAGGTATTGAATTTTTATATTTCAATATCTATCTTTATATCTCTACATCGGTTGATATCTACGTGATTCTGTAACTGTGCAAGTAAGTCAGTATTCTGTAATAAGCGGTTATACACGATCTTTGATGGATTTGGTTTGCTTATTATTTATTTATTTATTTATAGATATACATATTGTAATATCTAACTAACTCTGAAACGAGTACATATTCTACAAGGAAGAGTCAGGGTAGGTCTGTATGTCTCTTTGGGGTAGGTATATCTGTTCAATTCCAATGTAATATCTCGTATTTTTCCGCGCGCTTTTGGTACGTTCGAAATTCGAATCAGTGTATTATCAATAATAATACACTGATTCGTCGTACATATATTATCGTGAATAAGTAGAAATTACTGGCCCATTTGGATTCTGTGCTGCTGCTGACAATAACAGGCTCTACTACCTCCTCGTGGTATCTTTGTGTTTTTATCATGATGCCTTGGATCCAAACGAGCTGGGTTCGTCCGCCAAGACGAATTTCTGCCCACACCATGGTATGAGTGGACCTCCTGAGGGTGCCATAGACCGCTAACTCTCGCTGGAGTTATCCAAACGCGTGTTCTTCGTGAATCAAGATGAAACCCAAACCGGGACTCATTCGTGAACAGCACCAAAGATCATTGTTCGTCACTCCATGGCAAATGCTCCCGAGCCCACGAAAGCCGCCGACCGCGATTGCCACGTCGCAATGCTGGAACACGTAGCAATCTTCCAGCATGAAGACCAACTTCATGCAACCTTTGCTCGCTTAATAGCAGCTGGTGGTCCTCCTGGAGCCTTTGTAGTAGTTGCATCGCTGTGATATTGGGTTGTCTTCTGGCGGTAATTTGGAGAAAGCAATCCTGTCTCTGCGTAGTAACACGATATCTACCCGTATGCCGTTCAGCCACATCTCCAATACTGCGATAACCTGACCACGACCTTGATATCACGTTTTGGCTGGTGTGTAGGGGCTCAGCAACAACGCGTTAAATAACACCATTTTCTAACATACCCACGGCTCGTAATATTTCATCTCGACTCAAATGACGACGTGGCATGACTCTTAAAGCTCTCACGGCACGTTAAATTAAAAAAGAAAAACATTCTAAGCACTTTTCATTAATTAATATCAGTAGATCAATTTTAATTTTCCTTGACGTAACGAATTACTAACAATTTTGCCGCCGTATTTTTTTACTTTTGTTTTTTTATTTACATTTTCAAATTATGAAAACAGAATAAAAGAGGTTTCAATCTGTATATAAACTTTTTATGGAAAATATATATAAATATATATAAATATATAAATATATATATAAAAAGATTTTAAACTATAAAGTCGTAAATAATATAGGATTAAGGTATCCCTAGATTCTGTTGATGTGGATATTTATATATCGGCCAACAGACTACTACATAATATAGCTACTTATCGGACTTGTATCGCCGCCACTGCGGCACTTCAGACGTAGTAGAGATACGCTGCAGCTATAATTATGGTTGTAGCACGACTGGGTGGACTCGACCGGGGTAGATCCACGCTCTCACAGCATACTAGCGTAAAATATCAGCTTAATGCTGCTATGTTTCGTATGGTGATTCTATCTTAGTTCTCAGGGGTGACGACGCATCTGCATTTCTGTTCTTATTCGAGGATAAACGTAGATGTGCATGGGCCACAGCAACCACTTATCATTAGGTGGACTGTAAACTCGTTTGTCGCCATTATTCTATATAAAAAATTACGTAATAAAATCATGTTTTGACCGCATAGTGGCGATGTAAAAATATCCACTACCATATCGTCCCGTGGTTGTCTTAAGAGGCGACAGAGGGAAACAAACAAGGAGACGGGCATCAGCGTCTTCGTAATAACAACTAAAAAAACACAGCGGTAGAAGTGAAACCTTCAGAAGAGGAGAACGAGATAAGAGGAAACATACTGTATTCTATCTGTTTCACGCAGGCTAAGTACGATTATTAAGAAGTTTTTACTTTAAATATAGGTGAGATTACGTACGGCGGCCGTGTGACGGACATGTGGGACCAGCGCTGCTTGGCGGCGGCGTTAAAGCGCGTGGTGTCACGTGAGGCTCTGCTCGAGGGGCACACGTACTCTCCATGCGGCCGCTACCGCACCCCCTGCACCCCCCGCCTCGTAGACGCGCGCCTCCACGTCGACTCGTTGCCCGACAACGAGCCCCCCGAGCTCTTCGGCATGCACGATAACGCCAACATCGCCTACGAGGTTAGTCACCCACCTATATCTCCTTTATTTGTTTACATTAATTTTCGTACTTATAAATTAAATAATATATGTGGTCATGGAGCAACACGGGCCACCGGCGGAGCGGAGGTGAGTAGCCATTGCGTTTTCCCGATACAGAGATATCTGTCTTTTTTGCGGAGGGAAATCTACGCACACAAAAACCATTGTCTGTCACTACAAAACACCCACATAACAATTAAAACAATTTACTAACAATTTCACATTTTAACAGCAACAATACGGATACCGCATATTGTATGAGGGCGAGCGGCCAGTATTGGTAAATAAATCCAAAACAACACGACCGTCAATAATGTAATTCTTAAGTTTTAAAAGAAGTAAATAATGTTACGAGCTTGGGGTTTGAGACAATTAAAAACTGCCGATTGAATTACCAAAATTGACACTTTAATTACAGAACACTAATTACAACTTAAAACCACACTAATAATAAAACACAATCGTAATACTGATCACTTTAGTTCGCAGTTATTTCGCTTCGAAGTATTCGCTTATATCGCCAATTCAATACTGACACGGTCATGGTCTATACCGGCCTTATATAGGTCCTCAGATAGTTACCAGAAAAACTGTAGAAACATCTACAAAGTTCGAGTACATATCGGTCCCGAAATTTCTAGAAGGACTTGACTCTTCTTGACTCTCCTAGTTCTGCTATTCGATGCTAGAGGGTGCTAGTGGTAACTAGTGTTGCCATGGACAAGACATTAATAGTGGCGAGCAACAATAACAATAATGTCATTAAAGATTATTAATATATGAATGGTCGTGCTATCATTTTGTAAATTTTAATGGTTGATCTCTTTTTACAGCAAAATACTGACAATTTGGCATTTTGTAGGATGTCGCAAGTAGATTTAGTCTAGTGAGCAGTACGGCTGAAACTATAGTTTTATTGTACACATAGGACCGCGTGGTCTTGTACTTTTGTCCGAGGGAAAAGCCCTTCCAGAGCGCCGGTGGCCCGTTTTGCTCTATAATATGTGGTATACTCCGATGATTTTTTGAACTGTACGACTTTGAAAAAGCATATATTGTTACAGTAATAATGTAACCATAATACCATATTTCGGGCTGTAGTTTATTTCATACTATATACATTCAAGCAATTACACTCGATATTATTATCGATTAACAAGAGTAGGAATGTCGAGCGAATGGAGCTCCTAGATTTGACGAGGCAATTCCTATATTTAGTATAAATTATTAGCTTTCAAAACTGTAGGAAAGTAGCGGCTTTAATTGAGATTGAAGGAGCATCTATTGGTCAGATTAATTTGTTAAGTTAGAGATTGCGCTACAGCCTCATTTACTGATGGTACAGAGAAAGGAGACGAGTGCGCTGCTGCAGACGTTAGCGGACGTCCAGCCCCGGTCCGCCGCTGCTGGTGGGGAGTCCCCGGACCAGATAGTGTGGCGCATCTGCGAGACCACGCGTGCCTCTGTTGCCAAACACGTACGTTTACTTTTTAGTCCCTCTAATATATAAGCGTTACTTATGCTATTAGTTATGATGTAATGAATGGTATGAAAACTTTTTCGATAAATGTGAAATTCTTCTGCATATGGTGCATTCTCCAAAGCGCTAAGCTTGGCGGTACTAACTGATATTTCGCATTGAATAATATCATCACATTAATTTAATAGGATTTTGTTGCGTTACCGTAAAAAATCAAGTAATTTATTAACGGACTGAGATTAGTCTCAGAATAATTTTATTTTTCATACAATCAACAATTGGTGTGGAAAAGAAAAGAAAGTTTTATTATAAAATTACTACACCTGTTGTTAACAACATAGATTCGCATTCAAGACAATTTCAGACTATTCCAAATTGAATTACCGAAAGATTATAATAAGACACGCCGCCCTCTTTTCATTTGATGGCGGTATAATAATCTCGTCTTTATACGATACAACCGGATACGAAACTCTCGGGTTAGCGACGGGAGAATGCAACAGCAGTATGTACTGTAGTTGTTGTTGTTTTAATTGCGTGGCGGTTACAACCTATTTCCTACTAAGTCCGGCAGTGGACTGTTTGCGGAGGTATGAGGAGTAAATTGTCAAGTACGGCGAGTACGTGATGGATGTAAGAACGCAATGTCCATGCAGCTGGATAAGTCGGTGACGCACGAGTCGGTGTGGGCGGTGGACGAGCGCGGGCAGCCGCACTCGCTAGCCACGGCGCTGCGCCACGAGGCCGAGCGCTACGACGCGCTGCTGGCGCTGCTGCACGCCTCTCTACAAAACCTGCAGCAGGCCATCAAGGTGACCACCCCACTAGCACACCACTCCACCAGCACACCACCCCACCACACGACATTGTAATAGTCATACATGAGCCAACAGACATTCTAACACTCACAATCGAGCGAACAGACATTGTACCACTCACAATCAAGCCAACAGACATTGTAACACTCACATACGATAGTGGCACCAAAAGTATTCTCATGCACTTGTATAGTAAGTACGCTGCTGTACATCTTATAATTCTTAAATTTATATCTTCACACTTTATTTAAAATAAATTATATTTAGTAAATTAAAACTAGTTCTTTTTGGCATTATAGTTTAATAATAAATAGGGGAAAAAATAATACCAGCCCGGCTTGCATGGGCGGGGGACAAAAATTTTATCCCCCGATTATATCCACTAACAAGAGATAAAATTATCTTGTTATGTCAAACGGGGATATACTTCTTCCCGTTTGACATAACGAGTAGACATATATCCCCCGTCCGTAGCATGGAGCCAAATGAAAGATAAAAAAATTATGCTTTTTTGACATTTGAAAGGGACGATTTTATCCTGGTTCGTTGGACGTGGGTTGAAGTTTATATTCATACAAAAAAATCTATCTAAGTCTAAATCTATCTCCCAATTTATCTACCGTGGATATTATATCCACCGGTGTGCCCATGCTCTAAGGGTGGATAAAACTAAGCGAGGGGATAAACATTTTCTCCTTTCCCCGGGGATAAAATTGTCCCCCGCCCATGCTAGCCAGGCAGGTATTTAAAATACTTATAATTACTTTTTGTTGTCAAATAAAAAACAAAATTCCCTAATTTTATAAACTACTATGATAACTTAGCAGGGGGATGTTCATGGTTCAGTTACTACATGACGTTAGTTATGCTATTGACTCTACACTCTATTTTACCTTGTCCACTGGTTAAGTGTGAGTATGGGATGATTTGAGCTAGCGTGAGAAGGATGTACCATGTAGGGGCGGTGTAAGAACATCCACTACCCCATATCTTAACGTGGGTGTCGTAAGAAGCGACAGAAGGAAATAAAACCAGGATAAATAAAAATAAAGGAAAAACAACTAAAAATAATAAAAAACTGAGATTGCCTACCCGCTTGTCAAGCGTGGCCACTATGCCAAGTATCCCCGCTGAGGCAATCTATAGGTGAGGCCTATGTTCAGCAGTGGACTTTAATGGGCTGTAACGGTAACGGTGAGACGGATGTGGTGTGTGGTGGTCAGGGGGAGGTGGTGATGTCGGAGTCGCTGGAGGAGGTGTACGGCGCGCTGGCGGCGGGGCGGGTGCCGGCGCTGTGGCACGCGCGCGCCTACAACTCGCTCAAGTCGCTGGGCGGCTGGCTACGAGACCTCTCTCTGCGAGTGCACTTCATAGAGGTACCGTCTGACGACACCAAATGTCCCGATATTTCACTAACCCCCTTAGTCTGATACATCTGTAAATGCTACTACATTAATATATTTCTGCTTTGACATTTTCATATTATCTCACCAAATTTAGGGGATGTAACGAAAACTAATCCTTCACCAGGTTTTGGTTCACCGAAAAAGAAAAACAGACATATGTGCAGTATGGACAAAAAATTATTCGTTCCTTAGATCAGTCCCAAATAAATACTATCAAGCACTCATCAAAAAGACTTATTATAATTCATGGCAAACAAAAGCTACAAAACCCTCTTTTTGTGTAAAACCAAAATTCCTTATTTTTACCTTCTGTCCCAAAATTGGAAACACTCGACATGACAACACTATGTGTGATACACACCGTGTCCCACAGTCTTGATAGGTATACACACTCATTTCACACAAACACCTCTGGATTCTCTATTCTCTTAAAGCGCTACTGCTTAATTTTTGAAATGAAAACTTTTAATTTTCTTTTTAAACGAAAATGCGACACCAAAAAGAGACAAACATAAACATCTATAGGATTTAGCCTGCGAGAGAATGAGAGGGAAAACTTAGAGTCTATATAATATGATGTAATGTAAAATAATATTTAGAATAAAATTTGAACAATTTTTAATACTTGGTAACAATATTATAATAAATAAACCGTACAATTGTCCTGCTTCTCATACTCTACATTCGTCTCATTTTCTCTTTTTTTTATAGAATAATGGTGACAAACAAGCACAGAGTCCACCTGATGGTAAGTGGGTGCTGTAGCCCATAGACATCCACATTCGTCCTTAATTAAGAATCACATTGCAAATGGGTTGTCACCCCAGAGGACTAAGATGATAACCATGTTTCCAGTGAAAAGAGTCTCCGGTTCTCTGCACACACCATACGAAAATCAGCATTAAGCTGATATTTTATTCTGTGTGAGCGTAGTCCTACCCCGGTCGAGCCGACTTATCAAATATAATAATGTTTTAAGAGCTGATGGAAAAAGTTATGTAAGGCGGTTCTTGTGACGGCAGGAGTGGTGGAAACACGGGCGAGCTGCCAGCAGCTGGCTGCCGGGGCTGTTCTTCCCGCAGGCGCTGCTGACGGGCGCGCTGCAGGCGCACGCGCGCCACCATCTGCTGCCCATCGACGAGCTCACCTTCCGCTTCCACGTCACCGGCGTCTTCGTCTCCCAGGACCAAGTCTACGCCAACAGCAAGAGCAACAAGGTACGTAGCGCGCTTACCGACCAACGTCATAAGCCACAAGTAAACAGAGCACCACGAATGTTGACTACAGCATAGGATATTGTTTGACTTATAGGTATTTAGCCGGTTAATAAAATAGGGAGATGTCCTGCCGGGATAAAGTATTATAGCCTGAGAGCTAGCGACGAATTTTGGGAAGGTCCTTTGGGCAAGTTGAAATTGTGAAAAAATATAATTTCGTCAATTGGCGAATCCAGTCCCGCGAGTCTGGCTGAGCGTTCGCGGTTATTTTGTTACTGCGCTGTATATAACATTTGCAAAAAAAAAATACAAAAACATGATATTTTGGCAACTTGATTTCTTTTTTATCTTTTAATTTAGTTTTTATATAATTAAAAAAAATAATCCCAGACATTTTTGTCGGTTATAAAGTATTACCAGACCTCTCCAAAAATATTTTTTTTTTAGTTCCCAAAAAATATACTTTTGGCAATCTCAAATTTTAATCACGTGTTTATTGAGTAATTTTTAATAACACCTGAAAATCGCCAGACGAATTTAGCGGTTTTAAACAATTCCCAGACATGAATAAAGTTTACCAACTAATACGACAAAAAAGACCTAAGCTCCTCACGCTGTGATTGGTTATTTAGAAATATATTTTTTTGAAAATTTTAAGATAAATTCTTGTTTTAGGATTTAGCGTGTATCTATGCGCATATATGGACATATAAATATCTATGTATATAGTTAATATTTAGTTTTAGCCCAGTTTTAACGGGCACGGCACATCATTTTCTTTCTTCACGCGGAATTAAGCAAATTAGTTTAAAACAACCCCATTGTAATGGATTTCCGCAAAGTAACGCCTGATCCTATTAATTTTTTTCTTTGAAAAAAAATACGTTACCCCCACACTAGGATTTTCTCCTGTGTCGTGGAGGCAGTTTACAAACATAAATTGCACGAGGACAAACATCCAGACCTGGAACAATTATTTGTAGGCCATACAAATACTTGTTCCGTGCGGGATTCGAACCCGCGGCCCCCAGCGCAATAACTCATTGCTAAACCACTGCGCCACGGAGCCGTTGTAGTTCTATTCGTCAATGAGTTCCAGTACACCTTGAAGTCAGTCCGTCAAGTCCAGAGGTAAGATCTATTCTATATATCTATTATATTCTATATAACTAACAAAGCGAGGCTAAACTCGGTTCATCTAGTTCTGCTCGTCGAGGAGTTCCAGTAGCAGTCATCAAAGTACGCTTTCAAGTCACTCTATCAAGTCCGGAGGTGAGGTCTCATCATAACTAACAAAACGAGGCCAAACTCGGCACATCTAGTGCTCCTCGTCGAGGAGTTCCAGTAGCAGATACCAACACACATTCAGATCTATTAAGTCCAAGACGTGTAAGTATATTTATATATAAATCCTGCGTGCTTTTAGCGAAACACATCCGAGTTTGGGCTCGTTTTGTTAGTTATGATGAGACCTTGCCTTAGAACTACAATTAATAGAATCAGGCGTTACTTTGCGGAAATCCATTATATTGGAGTTGTTATAAACCAATTTGCTTAATTCTGCGTAAAGAAAGAAAATGATGTATCCTGCCCCTTAAAACTGGGCTAAAACTAAATATTAATTATCTATTGTTACGAGCTTGGGGTTCAAGACAATTAAAAAATGCCGATTGAATTACCAAAATTGACACTTTAATTACACAACACTAATTACAATCTAAAATCACACTAATAATAAAACACAGTTCGCCGTTATTTCGCTTCGAAGTATTCTCTTGTATCGCCAATTCAATACTCCCCCGGTCGTGGTCTATACCGGCCTTATATAGGGCCTCAGATAGTTTCCAGAACCTTCTACTGTAGCGACATCTAGAATGTTCGAGTACATATCGGTCCCGAAATTTCTGGAAGGATCTCGACTCTCCTAGTTCTGCTACTCGACACTAGAGGGCGCTAGTGTAACTAGTGTTACCATGTACAAGACATTAATAGTGGCGCACAATACTTTCATTTACTCGACACTAGGGGGCGCTAGTGTAACTACTGTTGCCATGTACAAGACATTAATAGTGGCGCGCAACACTGCCCCCTCCTAAGACATGCTCGTCCCGAGCATTATTGGCCCCATAATAACGCGCCAGTCGATCCACATGGACGATCTTAGGAGTACCTCTGGCACCTTTCTGTATCCGGTAGGTTACGTCATTGATCCTTGTCACAATCCGGTACGGTCCGTCCCATTTAGCTTGAAGTTTAGGAGATTTCCCTTTGCTGCGAACTGGATTGTGCAACCACACTAGTGAACCTTCATCAAACCCCTTGTTGTTCATTTTGCGGTCATACCGTGTTTTCATCTTCTCAGACCTTTGCTGGCCCGTCTGTCTGACGTGCTCATAAATGTCATTCATTTTGTTCCGCAAGTCACTTGCATAATCGGTTATACTGCGTGGGGCATCAGGTGGTATTCCGGTGATCAGGTCTGCAGGCAGCCGCAATTTCCTCCCAAAGTTTGCGAAAGCTGGTGTCACTGATGTACTTTCGTGAACAGCGCTTCGATATGACAACAAAAACGGTTGTATGTGCCTGTCCCAGTCTCGTTGCCGTTTTTCCACAACTTTTGCTAGGTACCTCTCCAATGTCTGATTAAATCTTTCTACCATTCCATCAGATTGTGGGTGGTAAGTTGTTCGTGTTTTCTGAGTACCCATAACTCGGCAAGTTTCTTGGAATATTTGAGACTCAAAATTCCTTCCTTGATCGCTGTGAATCTCTAAAGGTACTCCAAAACGACAGAAGACTTCATGAACTAGTTTATCTGCAACTGTTGAAGCTTCTTGATTTGGAATGGCGAAGACTTCTGGCCACTTAGTGAAGTAATCCATCACTACCATGAAATACTTGTTACCACTTTCAGTTTCTGGAAACGGCCCCGCAACGTCAATGGCTATCCTCTCCCATGGTGCACCAACATTGTACAATTTCAATGCGCCTCTACTACGAATTTGAGGTCCCTTTACAGCCGCACAACTTGTACATTTGCGGCACCAGTCCTCGACATCGTCACGACAGTGGACCCAGTAAAACCGTTCTCGGATCTTCAGGAGAGTTCGCTTAACTCCCAGGTGGCCTCCTGAACAACCACTATGGTACAGCTGTAGGACATCCGGTACTTTAGCCTTAGGGACAACCATTTGCAAATGACACCTGTCTCCCCGACCATTTTCCCATTTACGGCACAGGACTCCATCCTGAATCAGCAAGCTGTCCCATTGGGCCCAATAGCTTTTCGTGGTCGAACTCATTGCTGAGACGTCGCTCCACTTGGGCTTAGGAGCACTGGCCTTCATCCATTCCAGAATCGGCTTAATGACCGAATCTTCCTGCTGTGCATGTTGTAGGCTGTCCTTCCATTCATTGCTGAGCTGGTCTGTCCTGAATATCCTCGCAGATACCACTTCTTTACCCTCTTGTCTAGTACAATGCTTGCAATCTTCAGGGCAAGGTCTTCTTGATAATGCATCTGCATTGCCATGAGATTTCCCGCTGCGATGTTCGATCACAAAGTCGTATTCCTGTAGTAGTTCAATCCATCTCGCAACTTGTCCTTCAGGATTTTTGAACTGCAATAGCCATTTCAGTGCAGCATGGTCAGTTCGTAAGTAGAATTTCCGCCTCAGGAGATATTTGCTAAAATGCTGCAAGGACTTTACCACAGCAAGCAATTCCCGTCTTGTGACACAATAGTTCCTTTCCGGCTTTGACAACGACTTGCTGAAGTACGCTATCACAATCTCTTGATCACCATTCCGTTGAGACAACACACCGCCAAGTCCTATATCACTTGCGTCTGTGTCAACTATGAATTCCTTGCCCGCATCAGGGTACCCCAAACCAGGTGTTTTGCACAGACGGTTCTTGAGCTCCTGGAATGCAATATCGCAACTTTCATCCCAGCAGAAATGTCGCTTCTCCTCGGTTAGCTTGTGCAGAGGTTTGGCTATATCTGCAAAGTTCTTCACAAATCGTCGATAATAAGAGCACAAACCCAAAAATGCTCTAACCTGTGTCTTGTCTTTTGGGACCGGCCACTCCTTGACAGCAGTAATTTTCTCTGGATCCGTGCGGATACCTTCTTCCGACACTACATACCCCAAAAAACTAACTTGCCGTTTGAATAGTGAGCACTTCTTTGGACTCAACTTGAGGTTGGCACTCTGGATCTTCATGAGCACGCGTTCCAGGTTTTGAAGGTGTTCCTCAAACGTACGGCCTACGATGATGATGTCATCCAAATAGACCAGACAAGCATCTCCAATTAGCCCGGTAAGTACAAGCTCCATCAACCTTTCAAACGTTGCTGGAGCATTGCACAATCCAAACGGCATGACTTTGAATTGCCACAGACCCTTTCCTGTGGAGAATGCAGTTTTCTCCTTGTCCTTAGGTTCAATTTCAACCTGCCAGTAGCCACTTTTCAGATCTAGCGTACTAAACCACTTTACGCCTGTAAGCATGTCCAGCGTGTCATCAATTCTTGGCAAGGGATAGCTGTCCTTCTTTGTAACGTCGTTCAGGCGGCGATAGTCAACACAAAACCGCATGCTGCCGTCCTTCTTCTTTACCAGCACCACAGGTGAACACCATGGATTAGATGAAGGTTCAATAACACCATCCTTCACCATTCCCTCAATCATGGTTTCCACTTCCTTTTCACGTGCTACAGGCAATCTTCTTGGCTGCTGACGAATAGGCAATTCTTGTCCTGTGTTTATTTTGTGTTGAACTAAGCCAGTCTTTCCTATGTCAGCTTCGTTTGACGAGAAAACATTGGCGTACTTGAGTAACAACTTCTTCGCCTTGACCATTTCATTCGGGGAAAGAACGCTGCGACAGTCTTCTAAAAGTGTGGTCACTCTAGTTTGTCCATCCTTGCTGGGGGTCCCAGTCGATAGATATTCGCACCGACGCAACCAATCCACTTCCTCACTAGTACCAACCAATGTGCCTTTTTCTATAATCTGTTCCTGATCACAAAGGTTCAGCACACGTACTCCTGAGATGTCGGCGGTTCTGAC